CATCTTTCTAAATTATAAGCGATTTTGGCTTTTTAGTACATTAATTTTGCTATGTATCTAGATATAACGTACGTCTCGATACATAGGAAAATCTATTTACCAAAAAAGTCAAAACGACTTATAATTTAGAATGGATAGAGTATTTAAAAAAGACAATTATTTGTGATCGGAGGGGATATTAGTTTAGACGTTGGAATATTCGGTCACGTAAACTCGGAACAAGCTGTCACGTACGTACTCCTACTGTTTTCCAGCTCAATACCAACCTGACGCGACATCTCGATTTACGCATGCACGCTTCCGATACCACACGAGGGGAAAGCATGGGCCCACGGCCCACCATTCAGTGGCAGTGCGTGGGGCCCAGTGTCAGCCGCCGCGAACACGACTACGTGCGTACGTCACCCGGTTCATCGTTGCGAGAGAGGCGGCGCGGCCACGAGTCCGGGACCGGCTCCTCAGAAAACGGCCGCCTCTCTCCATCATCCCCCCCCCCCGTCGTGTTCGCCGGCCCCCATATTCTCTCTCTCCCTCGCTCGTGGCTGGAGGAGTTGGAGATCGCGGGAGCGTCGCCACGTACGTGTTCGGGTACGTACCCTAATCTCTCGTCTTCGTTGTTGTGAGATCGTTGCATCAGGGATTGATGGTTGGAATCTCGTTGATCCTCGCTTGCATTGACGTGTTGTGTCGTGTGCATGCACTCTCGTACAGAGATCGTGGACGCCAGCGATGGACCGCGACGAGGAGATGGGCCACGGCGACCGGTCGCTGCTGTTCATCGGCGACGAGGACGACGACCTCGTCGCAGACCGGGACGGCGGCTCCCCGCCGACCTCCTCCGACGAGGGATCCTTTTCCGATAGGAGCGACGACGAGGCCCGCGCCGGCCGTGGCGGGCGCCGCGGCGGCGACGAGCGCGACGACGACGCGCCCGACGACGGCCCGAAGGGCGCGTGGCCGCAGAGTTACAGGTTCGTCAACCAACCGCCTCGCCCTCTCTTCCACGCAACGACGACGACGTATACGACGGTTGCACGCTGTCAATGTCGCTCGCGATTCGGAGCTGACGGACGATTGTTTTTCTCGGCGGCATTTTCGTTTCGCAGGCAGTCGATCGACATGATGAGCGCGGTGCCGTCGCCGAGGGTGAACACGCTCATGGCAGCGAGCCCGAGCCTCACCAGGTTCGGCAGCTCCTTCCTCAAGGCCAGGAGCTCCTTCTTCCTCAGGAAGGGCGACGGCTCGGGGCTGCCGCTCACCAGGCCGCTGCTGCCGCCCTCGCTCTCGCAGCTGTCGCAGTCGTCGCTGCACCCGCAGCAGCCGCCGCCCGTGAAGCAGTCCACGGACGGCATCGCCCAGCCGCCGCGGCCCCCTCCGGCTGGGCACGAGGCCGAGTTGCCCGAGAGGCCGTCCAGGGCCTGCCTGAAATCCGATTACATCGAGCTTCCTCCGCCTGCTAGCAAGTGCAGCAGGAGCCAGTCAATCATCAATGGTGCGTGATCAGTTGAACTTGATTCCCTGGTTTTAAGTTTGTTGTTCATGTTCAAATCGTAGTAGCTGAAACTCTGAAATCAGCTGCAGAGTAATTAGCTAGGTTCAGGATGTCGAATTGTGATGCTGATTTTTGTTCTGAACCTCATTGCTGGTCGAATTTCCAGGGTTCAATGTTCTGTGCGGCGTCGGAATTCTCACCACAGCTTATGGAATCAAGGAAGGGGGATGGTTAAGCCTCCTGCTGCTCCCCTTGTTGGGTGGCAGCTCGTGCTACACGGGCTTGCTTCTGAAGAGATGCATAGACAGTTCGCCCAACATTGAGACATACCCAGATATTGGACAAGTTGCTTTCGGTATTTTCGGTCGAATCTTTGTATCGGTGTGTATTCCCTGACAATACAAAGTTCTTCAGAAATCACCTCATCTATTGTTCACCTGACTGATCACATCTCTTTTTCAGGTTATTCTTTACCTGGAGCTTTATGTAAGTGTTCTCTGAATTCTGAAACTTATTGTGAATGGCTGGCTAGTATGCCTTTGGTTGTTGAACATAAGTAATTTTTGCAGGCAAGCTGTGTGGAGTACATCACGCTGCTAGGAGACAGCTTGTCATCAGTGTTTCCCTCAGCACATTTAGCTTTTACCGGCATCGACCTGAACGCACACAATCTCTTTGCAATCACAATGGCCTTGGCAATTCTCCCATCAGTGTGGCTCAGGAACCTCAGTCTCCTCTCATATCTTTCTGGTATGTAAAAATGTAGAATCTCTACAGCATTGCTTCTTATTTCTGATCTTTCAGAGGAATGTAGGACTATTTAAGTCAGAACAATCTTGCTAAGGAATGGCAGTATGAGAATTGACTCGTATTACAAATAGTTCAGTTAGTTTCTGAGCAATAAAAGTAATCTTTCAGTGAAAGAAGGATTGTTCCTGAGTCCTGACCATCTTTGTACTCAGCTGGAGGTGTGATCGCGACAATTACAGTCATCGTCTGCCTATTCTGGGTTGGCATTGGAGAAGGAATTGGGTTTCACTTTTCTGGTCCTGTAGTGAACGTGACCCACCTTCCAGTGGCACTTGGCCTGTATGGATACTGCTATTCAGGACACTCGGTTTTTCCAAACATATATTCGTCCATGAAGGAGCGCTCGCAGTTTCCATTTGTGCTCCTGTTCTGGTAAGTAGTGCTCTTGTCAACACGATAACTTTGTTGTTTCTTGTGAAAATTGCCGCCTGCTTACCTGATGCCATTCTCCACCGTTTCAGCTTCACAGTGGTAACACTTGTTTATGCTGGAGTTGCGGTCTCAGGGTTTCTGATGTTTGGCGAGTCCACTATGTCACAGTTCACTCTGAACTTGCCACAACAGTACATCCCATCGAAAATTGCCATTTGGATGACGGTACGAGGAAAAAAAAAATCCTTTATCGTTCTGCCATCCCTTATCGTTCTGCCATTGCATTCAAAATGAAGGAGAGATGCTAATTTCATTACTTTTTTTCTCTGGTTTCAGGTTGTGAATCCATACACAAAGTATGCATTGACAATGACCCCAGTCGCCTTGTCTATAGAGGAAGCCCTACCAAAGAAGATGCAGAGTTACCTGGTTGGAATGTCTGTTAGGACATGCCTCGTCTTCTCAACTGTTGCGGTGGCTCTGCTTTTTCCTTATTTTGGTGAGTAGTCTTCTCAGTAACTGAATTTCGAATAGTATTTACTACTCCCATCATTCCAAATTCTAAGATGTTTTGGTTTTCTAGATACATATCTTTCGCTATTGCACTTAGACATACAGTATGTCTACATATATAGTAAAAGCAATGTATCTAGGAAAGTTAAAACATGTGAAACTTACCAAAACATCATGCGTGTTAATGCTACTTCCTATTCCCTCTGATTTGCAGCCCTGGTGATGGCATTGCTTGGATCTGTCTTCACAATGCTTGTGGTAGGTTCTGCAAAATATTTCACCTAAACTTCTGCAGTGGATTTTTCTTTGGCCAATTGAACAAGTTAATAAAAATGTGCTTGATGATTTACAGGCTTTGATACTCCCATGTGCATGCTATCTCTCCATCAAGAAGGGTGCAGTACCTTTGTGGGAGGTAACCAACCAGAAACCCTGACACATAGACACCAACAAATACAGAATTTGAACCCCGAAATTGCTGAACACTGAATATCTGTGATCTTTCCCTTTCTTTTCAGATCATCCTCTGCATAATCATCATAATGATTGGCGTCGTATGTGCATGCATCGGGTCATATACCTCGATCAACCGGATGATTAGCAGCAGATAGTGCACGCTAGCTGATGTTTGTGTAGTTGTTACAGATTCTTTCGAATGTTTGACAGAATTGAAACTGGCAGTCTGTCGTTTTTTCGTAGCTACGTTTATTTTGTTCCTTCTTTTTGACAGAAATTCGGTAAGACAAGAGTTTTGTTGTAACAGGTGAAGGTTGTGTTTCAGACATTCATGACAGCAATTTTTCAATAGAATTTTTCTGTAGGCGTGTCTTCACTCTTCAGTAGTCGTTTGCACAGAAAGCAACTCAGATCAAATCATCTAAAAGGAACATCTAGAACTCATTCAGAAAAACACAGTGACTGATAAATGGTAATGCTCAGGTTTCATTTACAGGTACTGATTTGTCAAGAAACAACGTTGCTATATTAACCACCAATCCACCATCTTGCCTTGTTAAGAGTTCAAGAAACAACGTCCTATATTAACCACCAACTTGCCTTGTTCAGAGTTCAGACTTGTGGTACCGAGCAGGAAAAAAAGTTCAGACTTGTGTGATACCAAGCACGAAAAAAGAATTGTTCAGAGTTCACACTTGTGATACCAAGCAGGAACCGTAATTCTCACTGAAATTGGAAGTGTACTAACCGTTTACAACAATGCTGTGCTGTCCTTCAGCCAGAACAGCAACTAAATTTTCTGACGCTATAAACACTATGAAGCACAGGATTACCATAGAACAGGCACATCTCTGATCTCTCTTTCCTGTCTCCGGAAAGAAGAGTCACTACGACACTTTTTTTTTTTTTTTAGGCTTTTACATGTGTGCCATTAAAAAAGTTTGAAATTACACATAGGCCATTAAAAAAGTTGACCGCACACAGACGCCACCGTTCTGAACTTGTTTGCTCTCCAAGCCATTCCATCCGCATTCCGTTTGTTTTTCACCGTTTGGGAGTCGACAAGTGGGGTGGTCGGTCCAAAACGTCCCCATAATACCCCTCTTATCCTTATCTCTCTCTCTCTCAAACTCCATCTCTCTTCTCGTGCGGCGGCGGCCGGGGCCGAAGCTCGCCTCGCATGCGTGTTGCTGGGCTGCTCGGGCGGAGCTCCTCGCGCCCGCACCATGCGGGGGCGGCGGTCGGGGCCAAGCTTCGCTTCGCAAGACGCCGGTGGCGGAGCTCCCGGGCCCCGCTTCATGTGGCTGGCTAGGCTGGGCGGTGGCCAGCAGCAGAGGCAAGGCCGAGGCGGTCACCGTCACCGCGAGCTCGCGCGCATTCGCCTGGATGAGGTGGCACTGTGGTCGGAGTGGAGCTGCCCCCCGAACACGGCGGCGACGTCAACGGCGGTGGCCACCTTGAGGATGGCCACGGCCAGAGCGGCCACCATCACTAGCACCGCCGCGGGCGTGCTGGTGATCTTGGTGGTGTCCGTGCGGAGCCTGCTCATGGCGAAGAAGAGCGGCAGCAGCATGCCCACCACGAAGTCCTCCACCTTCTCGACGATGGCGACGCCGACAGGGCCATTGGGCACGGTGAGGCCGAAGACGAAGATGCGAGGAGCGGACCCGCCTCGGTCGCCAGCCACGCGGACCCGGCTCGCTGCATGCCGTGTTCCACTCACCGGTGACCGGCGCCGCACACCGACACGAGCCCCAACGGCGACGGCGAGGGCCCCAGCGTGCAGGGAGGCGGCCTCGTCCCCAACGGCGGCGGTGAGAGCCAGGAGGCGGCCCGCGTGGAGCTGCCACAGCCGGTCCTCACCGTGGATCTGCCGCAGCGCGCGTGGAGGTGACGCGAGGAGGTGAGCTCCGGCCACCGCCAACGGCACGCGCGCGAGCTCTGGCACGGCCACCATGGACGGCACGGGCGAGCTCAGCGTGTGGGAGGGCGGCGGCGCGGAGCCACGACGCGAGGAACACAGGCAGCACCGAGACGGGGCCGAGGCCTGGAGGTGCCGGGGGGCACGGGGCCAACCCACCGGGCGCGGTGCTGACAACGCGCCGTTGGGCCGTGTTGGAGAGGACGAAGATAAGGAGGAACAGAGAGAGAGAGAACTGAGGGGCAACGTGGACAATTTAACTGACCGGTCCCACCTGTAAAGGCTATGAAACGGCGAAAAACAAACGGAACAAGGATGGAATGGCTTGTAAGGCAAAGAAGTTTAGAGCAGTAGCATCTGTGTGCGGTCAACTTTTTTAATGGCCTGTATGTAATTACAAACTTTTTTAATAGCACACAGGTAAAAGCCTCTACTTTTTTTTTGTTTTTGAGAAACTAGTCAGTATGACACATGAACGACCTACCAGGCTACAACTCCAGGGCCCAATTGGGCCCAGCCACATCCACCCGATGGGCCTACTACGGCCCTGGATGCCCGCCCACTCTCTTGTAGTACTAGTCCCTCCAGCACACGAGCATGGTGATGCAGCGGCGCATGATGTAGAACCTGGCCCTCTGCTCCTTCACCAGGCTCGCCAGCCGGCCCGGCACCGACCGGCCCGCGGGGGCCCTGGACACCCGGTCCGCCTTGAGCCCCGCCACCGGGCTCCCCTCGGCGGCCGCCGTCGACCTCCGGCTCCCCTTCTTGAGCAGCATCTTGCTCTTGTCATCCATGTACATCTCCATCTCTCTAGAGTCCTCCCTGTCTCTCTGATCTCTGCTAGTGCTAGGATCGTGAAATACAGTGGTGGCTAACGGCAGCAGCTCTCTACAGGAGTTGTTGTTCTCTGCTTTCTCTGGTTGTTGCAGATGGAAAGAGTGAGGATTGGGTGCCAGGGGTGAGGTGGTATTTATAGCCCCAGCCCGGCCCCCAGATGGGATGATGAGATGACAATCCAATCCAAGGGAGGAGGAGGATGGGAGATCGGCTCTCTCTGTTATGTGGTGTCAATGAGTGCTTGGATTAGACTATTAGAGCGAGCATGGGCGATTAACTAAGACTAATCTTGTTATTATGTATAGATATGTGTTGTGTGGAGTGTGGTGGGGCATCTCTTTCCATGTCCCTCGTACTCTATCGGACCATGTCCCCCGGCGAAAGGGCCATGGGCCCGGCCGGTCCTTTCGGCGCCTTGCATTGCTCATGGAGTGATGGATTTCTCAGACTCGGGTGCATATTTGAAGATCATGGTCAGGGCTCAGGACCACATCTCTTTGGTATATAGTATCTGCATTTGTGTAATTTGTTCTTCATTCCTGTAACAATTTGGTATTCATTTCTGTAACAATTTGGTACTCATTTCTGTGGTACAAATTCAACTTGGCCAAATCTGAATCCACTGTAACTAGTAGTAGTAATGACAGCTTGAGATGAAAGAGAAGGACGGTATTATTGCAGTTTCAACACATAACGTTCTTACACGTCTCCTCCCCCGCGTCGCCCGCCCGCACGGGCGACACGGGCGACGAGCGAACCCAGCCGCCACCCCAGCCAACCACCGCCCTCCCCTCCCTCGCCACTGCCGGAGGGAGCTGCCGGGAGGCCCATGCGACTCCCTTGGAGGGCAGCGGTGAGGCCTTTGCCCAGGATGGTTGCGGCTGACGTCGTGCGGGGCGGAGCTCGACGGCCGGGATGACGCCGCGGCTAGGCGCAGCAGGCGTTGGCGCACGAAGGCGCAGGGAGGGGGCGCATCACGCGACAGCCGGGCGGCGCTGCGGCTTGGGCGGTGAGGATGGCGCGCGGAGATCCGGCGAGGGCGCGCTGTCTGGGCTTCCAGACGGCGGCGGTGGCGGCTCCCCTCCCACCGGATATGGTCTCCCGAGGCTTGGGCTGGGCGGATCCGGCCAGGAAGGGCTCGATGCGGGCGGTGCTGGTGCTTAGGCCTGCTCCGCCTGTCCCCTTCCTCCATGGCGGTGGCGCCGTCCCGGACCGTCGGGTCCGGTGCTCGGGCGCCTGGATCTGCATCCAGGTGGCTAGCTCCAGGATGGGGTCGGCGACTGCGGCGCAGCGGCGGCCTAGGTCGACGGAGGGCGCTAGGGGACACGGCGGTGACAGCCGGTGCCCGTGCTGGCACAAGGTGCGGCGGCTCCGATGACTCGGCGTCGTGGACTTCGGGCGCGGCTTCGGGAATGACGGGTGACAACCCACACTTGGCAACGGCAGCAACGAGGCCTATGCAAGGGGTTGGGGGTCTTGGCGAAAGCCTTGCCCTTTCGGGCCGATGACGGCGACGCCTCTGGGCATCGTTTAGTTCCTTGGAAGTGTCCATTGATCGGGCCTCTCCCTTGCGTGGCGCTTTCTTCCTGGGTATAAAACCTTAACCTTCTGGTTAGGCGACGGCGGCGCTTGTGGCGTCGTTCCCCTCGTTGGATGCGTCGCTTTGGAAGCTCGTGATATGCCAACCATGGCGGTTGCCGACAAGGTGGGACCTAGTTGAGGATTCGAGGTCCAGTGTCCATGGCGTCAGAAGGTGGGTAAGAAGAAGGCGTTGGCGCAGCGATTGGAGAGCTTGGCATCTACTTGGTGCAGGGCAACGGTTCTAGAGGGACCGTGCGCTAGTTGCGCCCACGAAGATGGCGAGGAGGCCGGCGTGGGCGGCACCCACAAAGTTGGCGAGGAGGCTGGCATGGGAAGTGGTGGCCAGCATATTTGCGTTGCCGAGTTGACCTGCGTGGTTGGGCGACGGGTGGTCTCGCTCAGCGGCAGCCGTTCCGATGTATGATTGGTAGCTAGAGGATCCATGTGGCACTTATACCTTTGATGAGGCAACTAAATTGTTGTGAACTACAGTGTACGCGCATGGATCTCGGTGGACGGGGTTGGCTAGGTGAGTGCTAGAGGCAGCGGCTCACGCGTTGGTTTGGCAGTGTAAGGGACCGTGACGCCTAAGAGGGGGGTGAATTAGGCAACTTAAAACTCTAACTCTAAACTATGGCATCTTTTTCTAACCTTAGCAAAACCTATGCAAAAAGATAAACTATCTAAATGTGCAACTACGGTTTTGCTAGTGTGTTGATATCTCTACCGCAAAAAGGAGTTATGCAAACAATGTAAATGCAGAAGCTAAAGAGTAAGATAGAGATATGTAAACTCCCGTCGATGACTCCGGTATTTTTATCGAGGTATCGAGAAGCGCGCAAGCTTCCCCCTAGTCCTCGTTGGGGCCCCTCGCAAAGAATCCCTCACAAGGGCCAAGCTCCCGGTCGGGTAACTTCGTGGATAGCCCCGGGCCTTCCCCACGCGTAAGTGGGTCTCCAGTATGCCTTCCGGCAAGCCTCTCCCAAACCGCTCCCCGCCGTCTTCACTATCAAGCTTCCGGTCGAACCGCCGTGGGCCTTGTTCCCTTCGGTACACGGTGGCGTCCATACCACAAACGCGGTTGGTGTGATCTCGTAAGACTACAAGCCCCTCCGATGTACAATAATGGTGCGCGCAAGCACCGAGTGGTAAGAGGTATGCAAACCTCACTAAACACTAGGCTTAAACCTAGAGCAAGCGCATAAGCGGTGGTCTAATCAAGCTAAGCACTTTGCAAAGCACCAACGCTAATCGCCTAATGAATCACTAAGCACTATACAAGTAGAGATCACTAAAATAGTGTATCAACACCCTTGGTATGTTTCCTTAGCTCTCCACTACTCAAATGGCCGATTGGGGGTCTATTTATAAGCCACGTTGAGAAAATAGCCGTTGGGGGCGAAACTCAGCTTTCTGCTACTGACCGGACGCTGCTGTCGTCCTGACCAGACGTGTCCAGTCGTCCCGACCGTTAGAGCGCGCGGGTTGATTGGACTCTGGGCCGAGTCCGGTCTCACTCGATCGGACGCGTCCGGTCGCGCTGGCACCGCTCTGGAACCTCTCTGGACTTGATCGGATGTTGTACTTTGTGCGTCCGGTCATCCAGTGCCGCTGCGTCCAGTCACACTGAAAACATTGTCGTGATCAAGAACAGTGTCATCGGTGAGTCCAGTCACTGCTTCGCTCAGCGTTCGGTCACACCTGCTGACGCCTGCTGTTGCCGGGCAACTGATCGGACGCGTCCGGTCCCTATAAGGGCCACGTCCGATCACCTCTGCTGAGCTTATTTCTTCGCGGTCTTGCGTCCGGCTTGGTTTCCATCTTCGTGCTTGGACTATCCTTGATATCTAGGGTCTTCTCTTGTGCATCTAGGGTCTTGCTTATGGTGTTGATCGTGGAATCATCATGTCGCCTTCGTCCAAGTCACGTCTTGCACCCTATGGAACTATAAAACAATTACTTGTAAATTCATTAGTCCAATTTTGTGTTGGTCATCAAACACTAAAATCCAAAGTAAATGGGTCTAGGGTCCATTTTCCTTGCAATCTTTCCCTTTTTGGTGATTGATGACAACACGACCAAAACAAGCAAATAATAAAAATTTTAGAATTTAAAAACTATTTACTTGCTAGGATGCAATGCAAAGGGCAAGGTTATATGATGCTAAAAGATACCACATGTAAACATCTTTGAAAACTTATCTTGCCCTTGCAAATGTCCCCATATGGCATTATGGATTTAAGCCTCCCCCTAACTCCATAATCCACTATCCTCCCTTTCTCGGACAATTACCACTTGTAAATTATTATGATCGGGCTTGCTTTTGGTCCTACAAATTCTCCTCCTTTGGAGTTATACATCGAAAAGGAAGACATTAGTAACACAAGGGAGGGTCAAACTTTGTGATCCTTTGTATGTGGAGTGAAATAGGTCACAAATTTTGACTCTCACATTACATAGACTAAGCTCCCCCTAAATATATGCATACATATGATGAAGAATGTAGTTTATGCATAATTAGCAAATTAATGCTCAAGGGAGTTTAATCTATATAATGCATGGACAAAGCATATAAATACCAAAGTGAAATCAACATGATGATATCGGTTTAGAAATAC